ATATAAAACTTACATATCAATTTTCTGAGCTTAGTTGTCAAATATTCAATATGCTTTGTCCATAAAATGTTTCTTCGATGTGTTTTATCGATCGCCTCTAACATTTTCATAAGAAGAATTCTTCACCGGCAGACTCTCCAACAAATTTTCCACTACTGATATAACGCCTCTTCTTGAAACACTCTTCCCAACTTTTAGAACAAACAATCTCTTTGTTTTTGATTTTACTCCCCATTTCACTAACATTTTCTTGCAAAACACTGCCACTTATGGGAACTTTTTCTTGTCGTTTTTGAGTAAACCACTTAATAAGTCCGTTGTCAACCTTTTCATGTGCAGATAATTTTAACTTCCTACATCTAACATTTGTTTTGTCATAAGCTGATACAAAGTTTTCTCTGTTTTTCCATATTGTTGCAACAGTAGACTTTCCAAGTGCTAATTCCTTACAAATGTTACTCTGCTTTACTACACTTTTCATTTTGTTAATAATCTCGTACTTTTCATTTAGTGAAAAAGCTTTGCGTTTTTGTTTTTCCATTCTAAAACGATTTACATTCTTCCATTCTAAAACTCTCACTAATATAAGCAACTCCGCACGATTCGTGTTGCTGAGCGTAGAAGTTCGTTATAAACGGAAAGTGAATATACAACTAACCTAAAAAGTGATCTTTATATCCGGAAGTTCGTTATAACCAGTAAAAAATACGTTGGTCTTTATGGACGACGTTTCAGTTAAAGGAAAAAAGTTCGTTTTAACCGAAAGTTCACTATAAGCGGACTTTACTGTATTAATACATTTTCAAATTTTTGCATTTGTTTTAAAATAGCACCACGGCCAATTGGCAGACTATTATAGTCACAACTAGTATCAACGATGAAACAACAATAAATTTTTTCGCAAATATCTCAGTGTTAGGAGAGTTTTAGGTTTTCCAAGAGCTTAGCCGAAAACAAAAATTTTTCAAGTGAAATTTTTCACGATAATTAAGAGCCACGACATGCGAAAGTTAATAGGCAAATGTCTTGGATACTCTTGTTGACGGTTTATCGAACGTATCAAAAGCGAACTGTGAGGTCAAAGAGAAATAAATAATTAGTGATTAATAACAAGTGGCTGCATTGCCTCCGGCAGATGCGATCGATAGCTACTTTGGTGTTCCGCATATAGAATGTAGGACCCGGCCAGTTGCCAAAAAAACGTACTCTAGTTTAACCAGTGACACTTTCGAACGCATATGCAAATTACAGTCACTTCGGCCGGCTAAAATTTGCTTTCACTGATGATGGATTTTAAAGTTTTCAAAAATTTAGTCGACGGCCTGAACTGTAACTGTAAGTCAATGGTGTGCGTTTCGCAGTGCCTTTTTCACTTTTGCTAAAATTAAACACAGTGTGTGCCTATGCGGAGGTTTGTCAGTTTGTCAATCGCCTTTCACCATTAACTAAAGCATAAAGGAATATGCCTGTGTCCTTAGGTAAATAACAAAATTGTAGCCTATTGTCTTTCCAAGTGTGTCAACTATCGGACAAAGATGGTGCGGCTCTCACAGGTACCTAGCAGAGAGCTGGAGAGCAGATCAACTTGATTTATTTTTAGTCGATATTACAGCATAAACACACCTTTTTAGTCTGGGAGCAAAAGGGGTTTCGGTACGGGTACAGCTAGTTTGTAT